ATTGTCAACAACTTCGAGTGTAGAGTCTCCAACCTTCAGAGGAGTGGGTGCAACACGGACATTAGACATGATTTTTGTCTTGTCCATGTTCATTCTGAGGCCCACTTGTTGAGAGGCTCTACTGAGGCCATCGAGCATTGTGCCTAGATCCTCCAAGGTCTCAGCCATGACTACGATATCGTCCGCGAATCGAAGGTGGGTGATGTACTCGCCGTTGATATTTATGCCAAATCCGTTCCAGTCCAGAAGCTTGAAGACATCTTCCAGGGCGGTGGTAAACAGTTTTGGAGATATGACGTCTCCCTGTCTTACCCCTCGCTGCAACTGGATAGGTTTCGAGTCCCGATCCTGGAGGCGGACCGACATTGTGGCGTTTTTGTACAAACCCCTCAACACTTCGATATATCGATAGTCAATTTGGCACCTTTGGAGAGACTGTAGCACTGCCCAGGTCTCGACCGAATCGAAGGCTTTCTCATAATCCACAAACGCCAGGCAAAGTGGTTGATTATACTCCTCGGTCTTCTGTATAATCTGCCTTAGCGTATGTATGTGGTCTATGGTACTAAAGCCTTTTCGGAAACCGGCTTGTTCGGGAGGCTGGAAGTCGTCGAGCCTGCGAGCGAGACGATTCGTAATGACTCTTGAAAACAGCTTGTAGACATGGCTCAGAAGTGAGATGGGTCTATAATTAAAAAAGGTGACAAAACCTTATTGAAGAATTATAGACCCATCTCACTTCTGAGCCATGTCTACAAGCTGTTTTCAAGAGTCATTACGAATCGTCTCGCTCGCAGGCTCGACGACTTCCAGCCTCCCGAACAAGCCGGTTTCCGAAAAGGCTTTAGTACCATAGACCAAACACATACGCTAAGGCAGATTATACAGAAGACCGAGGAGTATAATCAACCACTTTGCCTGGCGTTTGTGGATTATGAGAAAGCCTTCGATTCGGTCGAGACCTGGGCAGTGCTACAGTCTCTCCAAAGGTGCCAAATTGACTATCGATATATCGAAGTGTTGAGGGGTTTGTACAAAAACGCCACAATCCATTTTCACAATCAATCCATCCGTTTTTGTACAAGGCTCAAGGTCACCCAAAGGGCGATGGAGCGGGCTATGCTCGGAGTCTCCCTGCGTGATCGAATCAGAAATGAGGAGATCCGCAGGAGAACTACAGTAACCGACATAGCTCGCAGAATTGCTAAAATCAAGTGGCAGTGGGCGGGGCACATAGCTCGTAGAGACGATGGCCGTTGGGGCAGGAAAGTTCTCGAGTGGCGACCACGGGCTGGAAGACGTAGCGTGGGCAGGCCTCCTACTAGGTGGACCGACGATCTGGTAAAGGTCGCGGGAAGAGCTTGGATGCGGGCAGCGCAGGACCGTTCATTGTGGAAAACCTTGGGGGAGGCCTTTGTCCAGCAGTGGACGTCATTTGGCTGAAACGAACGAACGAACGAACGAAATTTTATAATACACCAGCGGCCGCCCGCGACTTCGTACGCGCGGATCCCATTTTACCCCCTAGGGGTGGAGTTTCGTAAATCCTTTCTTAGCGGATGCCTACGTCATAACATCTACCTGCATGCCAAATTTCAGCCCGATTCGTCTAGTGGTTTTGGCTGTGCGTTGATAGATCATTATGTCAGTTAGTCACCTTTGAGTTATATTATTTAGATGAGTTGAACGACTATTACTCTTAAACCAACTGATCTATCTTAACCCTTATAGTTTTCTTGGAATTCATAAAAATCTATTATTATGTTTTTTTTCAGATTTTCCAAGCCAACAATTTAGTTTTTAGAGGGAGGCATATTATGCATTATTAATGCATATTATTATGCAAAAAAAAATTTATAATGATTCCAAATGTCGTTTAAAATCGATCATGATCATTAGATCGTTTATCATCATTTCATACCTCATGGGGTATCATCATTAACATTTATTATTCTAGAGTCTAGACTACGCAATCATTGATATCAACCGTGATGAGTAAGTTAATGGTGATTTCTACGTTTTTGCTGTCAATAATGTTACCGAATACACAGCTATTCGAGTTTAATAGGCAAAGCTCTACTTTTGTAAGTATTTTTTTAACATCCATATTTTTCGTCGCACATATTTGCCGCAAAGTAGTTCGTATGATTTTAACATTGATAATTTTTAGCAACTGAACATGAATTTGCATTATTAAATACAATATCTATCTATATCTATCTACTATCTATATATATAAAAATGAAACCCGTTTCGCGTTGTCACGGCATCACGTGTGAACGGCTGAACCGATTTCGATAATTCTTTTTTTTAAATGTTTGTGGAAGTCCAAGGATGGTTCTTACGGAAAAAAATATTAAGAAAATCTCTACGCTAAGGCGGTACGAAGTTCGCCGGGTCAGCTAGTTCAGATGTACAAATTATATAATACGCTTTAAATTTTTCTAAAATTTTATTAGTATTAGTAATTTGACTTTTTTACTTCTCAAACAAAAGAATCGTGAAATCCCTTTGCTTGCTTTCAGCTGTGACTATACAAGGTGGAAACGATAAGTGATCTCACTCGATTATTTCTAAACCATACAAGATATCGAAAAACTGGTTCCTGATCCTGAAAGTGCTTTACGAGCTCTTTCAAACGGCACCAATAACAGGTTACAGAATAAACTGGATCTATCCGAAAATTCTATGTTTCCGGCTTCCATGCATTTGGTACAGCCTCATAATATTAAAAACTACAGAAGGTATCGTAAAACTGGTTACTGATCCTAAAAGTGCTTCACGAGCTCTATCCAACGGTATTAATATTAAGTTACAGAATAAACTGGATCTATCCAAAAATCCAATGTTTCCATCCCCCATACATTTAGTACTACCACAGTCACGGCACTCATCTCTTGATACTTGATACAACACTTTATAGCAAGTAAAGCCTAAAACTAATTTTTTCCTTGAATAATTTTGAATAAAAATGCAATTTACGAGTTTTTTTAGGTTCATTATTTAATTTTTTAAAATTACACTTAATATTATGTGGTTGGCATACATTTAGTATGGAAGCTGGAAACATTGAATTTTCAGATACTTCCAGCTTATTCTGTAACCTGTTATTGGTACCGTTTGAAAGACTTCGTAAAGCACTTTCAGGGTCAGTAACCAGGTTTTCGATATCTTGTATTGTTTAGAAATTATCGAGTGAGATCACTTATCGTTTCCACCCTGTATGATTATATCCTTAGACGATACTTTTTTCAAAATATGTTGTTTCAGGGTCCATATACAATAGAATGGGGTAACTTTTCTTATTGTCGCGGACCTAAATCTAAGACAATTTCCGAGTACTCTGCCTTTCTTAACAGAAGCTGTGATGACATATACACGCTTCGTCTTAACTTCAATATCACCATGGATGTACTAGTTCAAGAGGTTAGTGGACATTACACAAACAATGAGCCTCAGTAATAAAACATACAGTAAAAGATGCAATAAATTATTGAGTAGGAATTATTAGTAAAGAATAATGTAGAGTAGCCCCCAATCACACATTTAGAAAAACTTTAAAGAGACAAAGTTTCAGGAGTTTAGAGTCTACGTATATGACATTAATGTGCATACATTTTATTTGTTATTTCCTATTTTTACTGGTAGATACATTAATTACCGTCCCGATCGATAGGTGGAGATATTTGAAGGTATTGCCTAGGACGTCATACTTACATACTGTGAACATCTCCATTTTATGAATGTACTAGGCTAAGTCTGATTTTTTCAGGATTGAATCTGTGAATCTTTTATATCATTTATATTCTAGTTATTCGCATATCACAAATTACTAGATTTGCTCTTATTAGGTAATAATACGGGCATCAAAAATTGATAAATGTTGTATAAAATGTTTCTTTAAAGGTTAAAATTTCGGTCTTCAAATTAAATGGGGCATCAAAAAGTTCATTATGGAGTTACAATATTAAGAAGCCATGCGATCATTTCGTTCTCGGTGATATGCTAACTCAACGCTTAAAGGCGTCGAGGAAGTGTCTCGTCAAAAAGGTAAACCTTACTTACAGTTTGCGTTGGAATTTGTCAATCAAATCCATGAGATCGACTGAAAGAACGGACAGAACACCTATATCTGATGATATTACGCATTTCCTCATAAATTATGGATTTACACTGTGGATGCGTTCTGTGGTCAAAGTTAACGCAGCCCGCATCCGGTTGGTTTGCGATCTTTGCTTGTACCCGTCTGATCCCATCGAAACAAAACGCATAGAGACCGATAATGTTGTTCATGGGTTCACTTACATGATGCGGGCTGCGTTCACTTTGACCTGACCTCAGACCGCAATCCTTAAACGCAATTTTTTTCAGGGCATATACGATATTCAAATTAATTTGAGTGAGTCAGGTCGACTATTTTTTGGATCAAAATTTTATTACGGGGATTTTCAGTTTCGCAGCGTTTTTCTTGCGAAGCAAGCTAATATTATATGTATGACACACATAATACGTTTTATAAGAAAAAACTGAATGTTTCTAAATTACTGTGTACTGTAAATCGTGTTTATATATTGTGTTTAGTGTTTATAATTATACTTATTCTCTATTTTCTTAAGAACTTTTTCTCTCAGTTATACTGTAATAATATATCTATGTATATTGTAAGAAGTTACATACCTTTAGCAACTTAATAAATAAACATTCTTTATCAGCTGAAGTACGTATTTTCCTTGGCAAACGACATCTTGGGTTACGCGCACGAACGTTCAGTAGTTGCGTCCCTACATTTAAGCTTTTCGATTTGTTGCTCTATAACATCGAGTAGGAGATAAAATGAAATCAAGTTTTTTATTGATTGTCATAATTATTTTACTTAAAAGTGGCCAAATCATATAAATGGGGAATGATTTTTATATAGGGTTAAAAACAAAACAAAATAATGCTTAAAACACGAACTATGAATTTATTGCATATTCTCCCATTCCTAAATTGGGTTTTACATTATACTTAATTATTGTTATAACAAAACTTAATTTACTTATTTTTTAATTAAACTAAAATCTGTAGTCACAACCAATGTAAGAAATAGAAATTGGGTAGTCTTCACCAATACAAAACGCATTACGTCTTAAAAAATATTGCAACTTAGTCCTGAAACCCCAGATATTTTTGTTAAAATCATTACGTAAATAGTCAATTTCATTTCACATGATAGAAAAACATGTTATGTTTATTGGTCACTGGTCAGTAGTGGTCAGCTACCCAACTGTTAAAACGATAATGACAATAATTTTGTTTCTGGAAGATGTTATGTACGATTAAGACAATATTGTACAAATATTTGTAATTTATTATAAACTAATTTTTATTTGCTAAACTGCCTGATGGGTTACGGTGGGAATGCAATACTGATACTTATTGTAACTTAGCTAAAACCACCATAATTGGTTATTAATATTAGTTCTACATCCCTTAACCCACTATAATTTCTTTTGTACCATTATATCCATTAAAACTTGAATACCAAGCAAAATAGATTCTTAAAGGAACTTTACGCACAATAAATTCTTCGTACCTATAATACTTTAACGTATTTTCTTATATCTATAACAAAGAATAACTTAATAAATTATGAATAACTTAAAAACATCTTAAAAATTATGTTTCTCTAATAAAAATTGATCAGTCAGCAAAACCTCTTTCAATTCTATGAGGCTGGCCTAGGTCTTTTATAAATGTGGTACGAGTAGGTACTGGCCACGTCCCGTAATACAAATATACGGTTTGTTCTCTGATTTTTGTACAGCCAACAGCACCTCAGACTAATATAGAACCTATTACAACATGTTAAGTTGCTCCAGTGTTCAGCTTTTAAATATGCTGTCGTTTTTTCATACAAGACTGAGATTGCGTTATACGAGTACATACCTACCCCGTTACACCTTACTATGGTAAATAACAATGAGTCAATTATGGAGCACTTATATTTGGACATTTCGTTGTTTTAAGACACCCCAGGTAACTGTGGTTCTTTTAGAGCGGAATCAGATTCTGATACCAATGTCATTCATAATAAAATTAAAAAAAAAATGTTTAGCAGATTATATGACAATCGTCTTTTGTTTTTGGAAACAAAATAATTCGGAATGCTATACAGGCACTGGCCAACCGAATAGGCTATTATGTATAATACCACGTAAAGAGTTCAGGCACTTGTACTCAAGTCACATTTGCTCCCGTACACCACAATGAGTTTGTAATTTGTCCTGATACTGGCCGGTTTGTTGTTGTTGCTCTCGTCGATCAGCTTCATGTCTCGCAGCACGTCCACGTAGTCGAGCATGAAGTCGTCGAACACGTCTTTTGGCATAGGGAAGGGGTTCACTGCCTGAACTGCTTCTGTGGCAAATTAAAAAAAAGAACTGTCAGAGAATGACGCTTGGCGGGAAAGTGAAGCGTCATGGTTGGCTATTTTGTTTATTTTTTTTAATTATGTAGTAATAATGTAAATTATGTAGGTAGGTACATACTCGTATTTGTGAACGTGCTTGAATAAAGGCAATTTAAAAAATAATGCACTAGTGGCATCAAATCCTCAAACTTAAATTGAAATATGTAAGTAATAGAAAAGTAGAAGAGCTTGTGAAGTTGTGCTTTTATGTAACTTACTTTTTACAGCTTCAGGACTGTTGTAGATAAATATTTTCTCTTGACATTTCACAGAGATATCATTGAATCCTATTTTATTCATCATTTTCCTGATTTCTTTCTCTGGCTCCTGAAAAATAACAGGTCAAATTGAGACATCTTGAAGTTAAAGAAAATGTTTAGAAGTGTTAACTACACACACACTTGATGGATTGGCTTGAACTTTTAATATAAAGATGTATATTGGTGAAGAAAAGGGACTCCTCTGTTAATGACAGAGCATAATTCACAGAAATTCTACCTACGGAACACAAGGTTCCGCATGAGAGAATGACACGCACTTCGCTGATTTTCAAACAAAAATCACTGTTTGCTAAAGTCGGCTTAAACACTAATGTTATAACTTAACTAACTTTCTTTGAAACTAATTTCAAAGAAAGTTTCTTCAATAAAAATCACTAAGTATACTCCCATGAGAGAGAAATGCAACACTAAGATAAATTGGGAATTTTCCTTAAAAAAGGCCGTATCAAACTGTATAACTGGATGATATTTTACCTGTGACTCATGGTACGGCGATATGAACCGGTCGACGCCTCGCAGCCAGCTGCTCCATTTGTTGCTCTGAGCCAGGATCCGGTATACATCGAAGACAGGGTTATGGCCGAGGAAGCTGAGCAGGCACTCGCCTCCTGGAGTGAGCAGGTCGAAGATGTTCTCGAACGCTGACCTGAAATTATCAAATCAAAAAATTCTTGCTTAGAAAGTGAAATAAATTAAGAATTCAATTTACTATAATAACGTCTCGTTTTACTATAATAAAGTCTCGTAGTAAATGTAGTGTACGCCCCGCTGCATGATGGACCGACGCGACGCCCTAAAGAAAACAGCGGAAAATCAAGTTCTATGGCGCATGCCTGGCAGTACCAATGGATACTACTTTAATTTCAAAATAGATGTTGTTTCAATTATGTAATTATTTAGGTAATTAAGAAATTTTTTTAAGCCAATAGTTGCTATTTTTCTAAAAAAAGGTTTGCATTCTTCTTCATTTCTAGTTAGTCCAGTCAATAAAGCATTATAGATGGAAAACTGTAGAACACAATTTCTGACTTCAGGACTTTATTTAGACTAGTTAGGAGGTGAACATAGCAAAAGTCCCCTCCCTTAGCCCTTGAGCTGACGAGGAGAGGGGGGTTTAAAGGTGCCACTTTTCGGTTTTTCGCTTAATCCTCGGAAACTATGCGTCCTAGTGACACGACTACTTTGAACCAAAAAAAGCATATTCAATTTGCTACAGATGAGATGGACAAGTTTTTCTATAAATTGTATAGTTTTCGCGGCATCTGCTCTAGAAGGTCTGTAATATTGGAAATTTTATTTTTGTCTTACATGTTCCCATCAGAAAAAAATCGACTAAATCAACATTGAGCAATCATTCTAGACATGCAGGAGTATGTTAAGCCTAGTTCCAGCGAGGGGACTACACTGTGCGTATATTTAGACGAATCACTTTGAGCCACTTTTGAATCCTCATCACTCAAAAACTACTGGGCATTAACACTTCAAATTTGGCTCATGTGTTGAGACTTACAAGATATACATCAGTTTCAAATTTCATAAATATACCTCAAACGGTTCTGTAGATATTGACGTCCAAAAATCTACATGTCTGACCTATAGACCAAATTCTAACCACTTCCAGATGACCTCGAAGGTTCAAATTTGGCATCCAGAAAGGTAGTTATGTAAATACAAAGGAACAAATAAAAAAACAGTAAATTTTAACATTTCACATGTGATAGATAGATAGTAGTGCTCTAAATATCGATTTTTGAACGTCAATACCTAAATAACCGTTTGAGGTATATTTATGAAATTTGAAGCTGATGTACATCTTGCAAGTCTCAATACATGAGCCAAATTTGAAGTGTTAATGCACAGTAGTTTTTGAATGATGAGGAGTCAAAAATGGCTCTAATTGGTTCGTCTAAATATACGCACGGTGCAGTCCCCTCCATGGAACTAGGCTTAACATGCTCCCGCATGTCTATAGTGTTTGCTCAATGTTGATTTAGTCGATTTTCTCCTTAAAGGAACATGTAAGACAACAATAAAATTTCCAATTTTACAGACCTTCTAGAGCAGATGCCGCAAAAACTATACAAGATATAGAAAAACTTGACGGTCTCACCTGTAGCAAATTGAATAAGCTTTTTTTGGTTCATAGTAGTCATGTCACTAGGACGCATAGTTTCCGAGGATTAAGCGAAAAACCGAAAAGTGGTACCTTTAAACCCCCCTCTCCCCGTCGGCTCAAGGGCTAAGGGCGGGGACTTTTGCTATGTTCACCTCCTAACTAGGCTAAATAAAGTCCCGAGGTCAGAAATTGTGTTCCACGGATTTCTCTCTACACCGTCGTTAAGGCATTCATTGACTGGACTAAGTACAGTATTTTCATTGCTCAGTAGTGTCGAGGCACATAATTTTACTTTACTGACTTTATCACTTGTAGTTTTTGATATTCCTTATTTGGAATTTTATTTAATTTGATTTGAGGTAGGTACCTACCACAATAATTTATTTATGTAACACGATAAAAGTATTATTATTATTTAAAGACCAAATGAATAAATGAGTTAGTCATACGAAAAAAAATGTTTCTTTAATGATGAATTAAATAAATGTTTCAATGAATTACGCGTCGATGATATTATTAATTGTCTTTTTTAACCGTACCTAATTATTTTTCATTTATGATGTTATAAACTTTATTTTGAAAATTATAAAAAAACAGTTTAAATTTTTAAGAACTAGAAGAACTCTATATAGAAACACAATGCGGACTTACTCTTGATCCTTAATCCAGTGAAGGGTATAAAAGGAAAATACATGGTCGAAGGCATTCCTCAGGTCCTTCGGCAGTTTCCTCTCAATGTCCAGTATTGTGAAATCAGTCCGCTCGTCCTTGTGATGTAGGTTCGCGAACGCGACCATTTTCTCGCTTATATCGCAGCCCAGGAGTTTCTCGAAGTTATCAGGTACGTACTCCCGAAGTAGCTTCACGGTAACACTGCCATCGCCGCATCCGATATCTATGATCCGCTCCCCGCTTCTCTTCCATCTGATTTTATTTGCGAATTCTTCTAAACAGTCGATGGCGTCTCTCTTTTGGAGGGTGTTGTTCCCCTGGTAGAGTTCGGCGTTGTTCATGTTTAAAATTAATTGTATTTTTCGTGTGTTTGTTGGCTGCGCGTGCGCTAGGTGGCTGAGGCGAGCGCGCTTGCGGCGGACAGACGCGGCCGGGGCGGCGTACGTATGCATTTATAGTGCGGGCCCTCCACGCTGCAGTCCAGGGCTGCGCGGCCTGAAGCAAGCGGAACAGGCAGAGGGGTGCCACTCATCTCCTGTTGAAATATTACTATATTAGTCATTATCATTTTCAGGTTATCTACGTATGTGTTAATGACAACAATGACGATATTTTTTACATTAAATTTTTTACCCGATCATACCGGAAATGCGTTGAATATTGTTAAATGCATGAAACTGTAACAACGATTTAAAAAAAGAACAAAGGAAAAGACACGGTTTAAGCATCATATTTTTAAACATTCATTCTAGACATTTCATTTTATCTAAACCGCATTGACCAGATAAAACGAATGGAGAGTTCTTTGACAGGATTAAGACACAGAATCGACTGAAACCTTAGTTTAGTGAGATTGCTGAAATTGATGTGCAAGATTAATTTTTCAGTACCATATGGTACAATTCAGTGACACGTTTTCCTAGGGAGTAGTGACTGTAGAGCCTTAGCCTCTATATTATATACCTACCATTCTAACATTCCTGCAAGGTAAATTGATACCTGAAACTTTATATCTTTACTAGCTAGCTTAATAGGTTGGTATATCACCTCTGCTTATAAAGGGGTAATTAGTATTATCCTACTACAAATTACTAAAACTGTTCAGCGGTTCACGTTAATCAAACTATTACTAGCGTCCTCTCTACATTTTCAATCGGCAGTTCGATTATGCGCCATAAATGTTTGGCCACTGTCTCCTCACCTCCTCGGAGTTAGATTAGATTTCTTTCTAATACTTAAGAATATTTTTTCCATGTAAGCGATCGATACCCTTCATTGGTATGATTTACAAAAGTACGTACATTATTATGTACAAATCCTTTAAGTTATACATAGTTACGGTGTTCATAGTAACGATAGCTTTGAAAACTCTGGCTATAAACATGTTTCTGGTGTCGACTGTACGTTAAGTTCAGGAATTGTATAGATAGGGTTTAGAATTCAAATCTTTTCTAAAATAGCTAAATTTTTATGTAAGCAGCTTGTTGATTAAGGAAATAGTAGATAGGTACTCACTATGCCTAGCATGACACGACTATATTTGGTCACTACTTTACATAACAAAACCCAACACGGAAGACTAGGCTGGTTCATATTTTCCTTATCGTTTATTTAACGTATTCTAATGGTTGCAAAATACAAAGTAAGTCTATGAGCGCTGAAATTTTGTTTCAGGAAAAAATCCACAAATTTAACGAAATTTAATATTTAAATAAAACGAGTGTTTTTTGCTTATACAAGTGAACATGGGTAAATCTTCCTTGATCGTATTGTTGAAAGATTGAATAATATATATTAATATAAATTAAAACCAGTCAATTGGAAGTCGGACTCGCACACCGAGGGTTCCGTGAAACTTGTAAGTAGGGATGTACTCGTAACTTTTTGTTCCAGAAATTAAGGTTTTCGAGCAAAAAAACGGCCCTATGGGAGCCTCATTTAAATATTAATTTTATTCTGATTTAGTATCGCTATTTGTTGTTATAGCGGCAACAGAAATACATAATCTTTGAAAATGTCAACAGTCTAGCTATCACGGTTTATGAGATACAGCCTGGTGACAAATGGGAGGACACTATGGAGTCTTACCATTGGGTACGGAAACCTAAAAATGAGCAGTAGTTATTATAATTTTTAACGACAATAGAACCATTAATCATGCTGAAAAAATAAAATATAGCGAGTTTTATAACATTTATACGCTAATAATAGAAATGCATTTAATTAAAGCAAAAACATAAAATCAAACAGTGGATTCTTGCAAAAGTTAAAAACTAAAATTAGCTCTACATTCAGTATGGGTCAGGATAATATTGCTCGAATTAGTTATCTAAACATTCACGTCACGTTAATTTTTTAACCTTTTTCCTGTTATATAGGGTTTTAATTCAGTAGGTATATCATAGTTTTTCCGTGTATAGTAATTATGTAACTTGCTACAAAGTAACAATGCGATTTCAAGACTTACTCACCGAAAATAGATTCAAATGAACATGCTTATCAGTATTTTGTATCGTGACATCTAACTTATTGTCAACGTGCCTTTTGTTGAGCGCAACACCTTCCTGATATTAAATCTAACCTATTTTTATTTGACTCCTAGATTTTAATGATAATTCAACAGATATTGCGTCAATAATTGCGCAAATAGTTGTACAATATCTGGTGGTAGACATCCGTGTTTTCCTAGACTGTTGAAATAAATATGACCTTATAAGCTTAAGCTAATTTACCCAGCTGTTACATAAAATGTAATATCTTCACTTTTCATGGAAATGATTCAACTGGTAAGGCAAAATAATTTGGTTAAGTAAATACCCAAGTAACAGGTTGCGTTATATAAAATAGTTCAACAATCGTGTCTACGAACCGATTTCCGAAAATTATAAAACATTTATTAACTGTTTTTTGCTGATAAGTTGTTAAAATGGACAGATACTACAAGAGAAGAATACTTAGGTATTACTTAGTTTGTTTTTGATTTGAAACGATGTTAAATTTAATACTTATTTAACTGCCTAAATCTGATTTTCGTAACTCATAAGTAATTATAATGTTATCAGTTGATATTTACATGAATAAAATTCTATCTATTCTAAAATGTAGTTACTAGTGGCGAAAAGCTTTTGTTTTAAACGACGTTAGACCACTAAAGTTTCAAGATAATTCGTAATGCTCCTGTAGCAGCCCTGAAATGCCAAATATATTATTCCAGTCTACAAAAATGATGATGATATTTCGGATTAAACTAGTATAGATACTTAACTAGAGAAAGAGCCTGAAGAATATAATCAAACTGTGAGGTGTATTAAGTATTGTGAATACTTGTGCAGCGATCAAATTGACGCAATCTATCATGACCTGTCCCATACTCACTGCGGTGAGCCGTCCATATAATACCGACTTGAATAAGCTGGTACGCGTGGTCAGTACCAAGTGCCAAGCAAATGATATGCATTGTTTACTCCAGTATTCTTTATTAAAACGCTACGTTCAGTTTACATTAACTTATAAACGTCTTTAGGCACTTACATGTTATAATAATTTAAAATTATTATCAGTTAAACTGCATAAGGTTTTGTTTTGCGTAAAAAGTGCAATTGCATTTTTGGCAACGCTACATCTTGAAAATGTCGTATGTGCGTTGTTGAGCTGCAACGAAGTAAAGGTCTTGTGTAAATGTAATTAGGGTTTAATTTTGATTTTGATGATTTGGTTGAAATTGTCATGCTGGTCACATAGTTTGGGCAGGTCCCGGCGCACTCGATCTTTCTGACCGACCAAAAGGAGCATTGCCCCGCGCCGCCGCCGGTTCTTTTTATTGCGCTGGCGCAACGCATCTACTCGCTTGGGTTAGGATTCTTGACCTAGCCTAATGCGATTTGTATTGGACACGGTCGAGTTGATTTGATATTACGTCATGTTATGGCTGCCTCCCACAAAAAATCTGCGAAATGTTTTTCATGTAGGTATTTTTGTTAAGTTATTTACAAAACTATGTGACGAATGATACCTACTAATTGTACAGATTATCATTATCATTCCCAAATGTGTCTCGAAATAAGTATAGGCAAAAGCGATAATCTTCCATTTTCGTCTCTCTGTTTATTGTTCAGTTAAATGCATATCAGTTAGCTTCATAATCGCTTCACACACAATAAATTTACCTCTAAAAATAAAATAATTACATTTATTAAGGCAAGCACTTTATTTTAAACTTGCCACAATAAGTACGCTTGTTTCATGTGAGTGTCGATACATTACCCGAGTGCATTTCGGCTATAACGCACGTCGTAATCTAAACTTGAAATTCAAGGACAAAGTTAAAAACCGCCGAAAAAAATTCAAGTCGGTGCATCCATACTGTATACGCAAGTGCACTCGATGCTTGCAGTTTACTGCGATTCTACGAGCTTGATCCTTGGTACAACAATTTTCACAGAACTTCATTACTTACGTCGATACATTTGCGGTTATTTTACGAAAATTTTGCCATGCAGTCAGTCACACGCAATACTACGACTACTATGACTACGGCGTAGAGCTGCGTAGACAGGCCTACGGCGTAGATAGTCTTATTCTAAACCTTGACTACTGCGTTATGAAAACTTTTCAGTAAGTAAGTATATTTATTTGCGATATAACTCGGTTCTTTTAGTAACTTTCAAATTTCAAAGCAATGATTTTCCCCAAAAAGCTCAAAGCATGGTTTTACACACTTTCATTACTTATTCACACACTACCCTAGTTCAGTGATTGTCTGTCTGTTTTTTGTCGATCGTCACATTTTAGTATCTTTGACTTTCAATCAATGACAGTCTACCGACGGCTATCATTCCATCTTAGTATCGTACTTGGTTTTAGCACGTTTAAGTCGCGAGCTCGGTGTATCGTTAAGCTGATATTATGACTTTATCGAAACTGTTTATTTAGAAACTTCTAGAAATATTAAGCCTCGGGTCCTAGAACAGTCCTTTATTTTGGCACCAGAATATTCAAGTGTCATTTTGTTTATGTAGAGCAAGTTTTGCTCACTTATTGCTCAAAGTATCAAGTAGTTTCGTGCGTTCCTGGCCGGCAATGTCACCCCGCGTGGGTTCAAGCGCCGAGCGCAAGCAGAGAAAGGGATCATAAGGGAAGTTTATTATACCCACGAACATGTAACGCACCTTTGCATGTACTCTTAATCTGTATCTTAGTTACTGATATTATTCCTGTTTGTATAGAGCTTTAAAATTACATTATTGACGCTCTTGAAGTGAATATCTGACCTCTTACTTTAACAAACGTCAAAAGTCTGTCAAACTCCAAACAAAAAACACCGGTTATGGTTATAGTTACGGTTAGAGAACGTGGTGCAACTCAGCCATATTGTTTTAAACTATCGTCATTAACTCTATATGTATAATTTTATTTTATCGAGATTGAAATAAAGTGTTAGAAGTCCCGATACAATTAGCATTTATTTACCTCTTTTCTTGACCGAATAACATTTTCTTAGTCATCATTATAAGGTTTGTAAATAAAGTACCTACC